GGGGGGGGCGGTAGGGGTGGGGGTGGACACAGGTAGGCCCATCCGTGACCCTGCCTATATATGGCTTCTCCTCCTTAACTTCAGCTCCCTAGGCCCCATTCTGCGGCGGTCACAATGACTTCTGCGCCCGTGTCCCTGCCTGGTGGGTGGGCTGGGAAGGTGGCAGCCGTGCAGGCATCTCTGAGGCCCGGGGCTGAGTCCCAGCTTAGCTACAGGTCGCTTTACCTCTCCGCAACTCGGTTTTCGTCTCTGTTAAGTGGCGGTAATTCCAAATAGAAGCTAGCTTCCACTGTTGTTGTTGGAGTTCAGTAAATTTGGAGAGTGCTTCTAAATCCACCAAGTGCCATACACAAAGGCGAGGGGCTGTGGTTATTGCTGTCATGCGCCCTGTGGCAGGCAGCCAGCTGGTAGCGGTTAATTATTTATTTGGACTGATCTTCCTGGCCTTACTGGCTACAAGCTCCTAAGGAGCAGGAACCGTCTTACACATTTCTGGGTCCCCCACAGGTCACAATCCTCACACTGTGGGACCCTGAGGACATGTCTGTGGCACCAGTCTGGGCCCCTGCCGCGACCCCACTCCCCAGCGCCATCAGTATGGTCCTGAATCTGTGATCTTCCAGGAAGGAATGAGTCTGTGGTCTGGAGGACCCCCAGCACCTCAAGCCCAAAGTGAAGGTCAGGAGGGGTTGCTTTCCAGAAAGCGTGCCATGTAGCAGAGCACGTTAACACAGCTGTCCACTGAAGGCAGCAGCTGTCCAGAGGTGGTAAGCGCCCTGTCACAGGGGGCATGCATGCAAGCCGAGACTGGATAATAAGCTTCCAGGGAAGTAGGCCTGGGGAAGCGGCTTCTAGAAAATGCTTCCAGCACCTCCAATGCAACACCTTTGTGTCCCATTCTGCACCCAGAGCCTACCAGGACTTCAGAAGACACATGCCAAGGGCTCTAATGCTCACATCTGTCTCATCCTCATAGCAACCCAGGGGGATCAGAGCGCTCCGGCCTTTGAACCCATTTTACAGATTAGAAGACTGAGTGCCAGCAGTGAAGCCACTGGCCCAAAGCAGCCAGCCTCTTGACACCTCTTCCCCCCATCTCCTCAGGCACTGGGAAGACCGCACCAAGGGTCTTCTAGGGTCTCTCTCCAGAGCCTGTGGCTGGGACTGGCTTTCTCAGCCTCTCTTCATCCTCCCTGAGGGCAAGACCCAACCTCAGAATCACCCCTAGAGTTTACAGCCCAGGCAGGCTCTGCCTCCCCCCACAGTCAGGGGCTCTAGGGACAAAGAGCTTCCCTCTCAGAGGGCGTGGACACAGGCCACCGTGTCCTGCTGAGAGGTCAGAGCAAGCCACCAGGCAAGGCTGCAGCAGGGTCCAGGGTAATTACTGCAGCCCGGCCTTTGTTGTCCACACAAAACCCAAGGAACCTCATAAAGATGAGGCGGTGATAGGAGCCCGGCAAAAGCCCTCGGGAGCAAAGTTATGAATGAAAACGTAGGGGACCCAGTCACAACCCGGCAGGCCCTGCTTCCTGGTTCCGTGACAGAGTGCCCAGAGAAACTTCCGGAAATTAACTTGTTGATGCCCAAATTTCTTACAGCAATGCCTCACCCCGAGGCGAGGGTCACGGCTGCGTGTTGGACACTGGCCAAGGCCTGAGAATTCAGTATCCGTGGCTTCACACATGGGCACTCTGGTGACACAACTCCCAGGACACAGTAGGCCTCAGAGTGCCTTCCTTCCTTATCTACCCCCCATCTCTGTCAATCAGGGAAACAGTAAATGTGCAGCTCTGCTCGGTGGGAGCCTTCCCTCTGCAACTTTTTCCAGGATGAGTCACTGGTGGACACCTGTCCTATGTGAGGGCACATCTCTGGGGGCCAGGTATGGAGATAATGTGTAACTGTTGCTAGAGGAGTGTGTGTGTGTGTGTGTGTGTGTGTGAGGAACTGTGGTCCTGTGGCCAAACCCCACAGTCTCTGGACCTTTCTTCACTTTGTTCCTGGCTGTGAAAGGAACAAGGATTCTCCTCCCTTCTTTCCTTGGGAGGAAAAAGGGACATATTGTCCCCACAAAGAAGCCAGAAATCCTTCTCTGCAAAGACGGGGCTAGTTATCAAAGCTTCCCAGAAGTCCAGCAATTTCTTACCCCTGACTCTTCTCTGTGAGCCATACCCTGAGTGCCTCCAAACCCCAACCCAAAACCCGTTTAAAAAACTCCTGAAAACTCCCTGCTTCTGCACCACCCCCCCAGCCCCCGCCCCAGCTACAGCGCCTGCCACCAGTTCTCGAAAGTCTAAAGTTTTGAGATTTACATGTGAACCCAGCATTTCATAACCTCGTGACTTGGGACGAGGAGATGCTTCTGTCCTTTTGGGAGAAAGAAACAAAACCCAACCGAAATCATAAAACTTAGAGGAAAACACCATCTCCCTCCAGATGCATTCCCTTGGCCCCAAAGTCACACGTGCTCTGTGGCAGATAGGGCTTTCAATGTGTCTTTTGTTTGATGCTGGTGTTTCAACATCCTCAACTTGACGACAGAAAGGTCAGTGCAAGGCATGGGGCATTCACAAACCACACCACAAGGGCCAGGCAGAGGGGAAGCAAGGGGCCAGGAATTGGTACTCCCCCCCCCCTCCCCCCCCCCACCACACTCCCACCCTGGATCCCCTCAAAAAGCAGCCAGGACAGAGAAAGCTAGGGGCTGGCCCCCTGTCCTAAACTTCCCTGATAGCTTACAAACAACTTTTAAACTCACGGGACCGTACCAACGCCAGGGAAGTCAAGTCCGAATTCAACGCCAGCCAAGCTGCTCATTCTCCAACCACAGCGCCTACCTCTTTATCTCTACCTTCAAAAAAACAATAATAAGCAAACGCAGGCACCTCTGGGAACAGCCTCTGGCCTCCTGCCCTGCCCTGTGTAACCAGCCTGTCCTCACACCCACGAGAGAGGAGGAGACAGCCCTAGTTAACCCTCTGGTCTACCAGGCCCTGTTCCCAGGTTGCAGCAGGAAGACAAACTGTTGCTCAAGAAAAGCCTCCAGAAAACCCTTGGCACCGGGAGGCAGATCCCTGCAGCTTCTGCCCAGCGCCAAGCCAGGGGCTTCCACAGGCGGCTTCTCACTGCCCTCTTAAATCTGCGGGGTTGGGCTCCACTCTCCCATGCCCTGGGCTGTCCACCCAGGGGGCTCCAAACGGCCATGGCAGAGCAGGGAGGAGGAAAAGGCTGGCCGAGCAGTGCCCTCACCCTGCCAGCCCAGCCGCCAGCTTCTTGGAGGACCTCTGAGAGAACATTTGTTTGGGCTGCCAAGTTAAATCTCCCTCCCTCATGTCAAGGCATTGGAAAAGCAGTCAGGGGAGAGGAGAAGGGGGAGAGCTGGGAAGGAGCAGGGGGAGGGAGGGAGGCAGGCAGGCAGGCAGGCAGCTCTCAGAGCCCCAGTTACTCAGGCGCTGCCCAAGGAAGCTTGCGCTCCCAGGCAGGAGGAGGGACACCCAAGCAGGGGCCGGGCCACCAGCCCTCCAGGATCAGGCACCGGGTGCTAGTAGCTCTGTGCCCCGGCCTCCGGAGAGGCCCTCGCTCTCTGCCCGGCTAGAGGGGCGAGGTGGGAAGGGAAGGCAAAGGAGGAAAAAGTTTGTGGCAGGTAAAGGGGTAAGCGCTGAGCAGCCCCGCCGTCGGGTTGTCCCCCAGGGAGGGATGGGGTGGGGGTGGGGGGGTCGGGACCGCTGCCCCGGCGCGCTCCCGCCAGCCCGCCCTCCTGCCCGGGTTGTTTACATTCCTGGAGTGTCTTTTAAACCCGGGGCTGAGGCCGACTCCCGGCCTTCTCCGGCGGCTCCGGGGCAGTCTCCCGTGAAAATCTGCTGGCGCACAATGGCCGGGAAGGCGGCCGCCCCTCGCCCGCGCCCCCGCTGCTCCGGGGCGGGGAGCCTGCCCTCCGCACCGCGCCCTCTCCCCGCCCGCCTGGCTTCCTGGACAGATGTCCCCGGCGAGGGGGCGACGCGCGCCCGCTGCCCGCGCCCCAGACGCTGAGGCCGCGCTCCCCACTGCTTTCTCCCCAGCCCAGACGCCAGGAATGTGAAACAAGCTTCCAGAGCCCGCCCCCCACCCCAGCTCCAGCCCCGGCCCGGCCCCCCAACCTCCGCCCCGGCCGGCCTCCCACTCCCCCGGGGCCGCTGCCGCCGCCGGAGACGGAGAGGAAGAAAGAACACGGAGAAATTACTTTCGTATTTGCAGCGCGCGCGCACACACACGCACATCTTCCCTCTGGGTTCCCCTCCTGGCTGGGGCAGCCCCGTCCAGGCCGTGGCCTTAACGCCCCTCCGGCTTCTAAAGACCTACGGGAAGCCCCTACACACACACACCCCTTGGCGTTCCCCGCCGGTACCGTGCGCCGCGTCTCCCCGGGCAATTCACACACAAACAACTTAACCGCGCCTCCACCTCCCATTTACAAAAGTGTGTGTTTTCCCTGGAAATTCAGATGCACAACTTAACATCACCACCCCTTGCCACCCCGAAATCCAGCGCCGTCTCCGGCGGCTCTCGTACACACGGGCGCACAACTTCGCGTCTCCCCAAACGAGACGTGCGAGACCGAGGTGGTCCTATCCCGGTCCTTCCCTCCCTGACCGAATCCCGGTCCTGCTTGGGTGTACAGAACGAGGGCTGGAGGCGCACCGACAGGAGGCGGGCACAGGGTCCGCGCGCGCACAACCTTACTCACGCCCCGCACACCAGAGGCGCCCCGGCCCCCGCGCGCAGCCCAAGCCGGCTCCGCGCAGCCGGGCGTTCGCCGGTCGCCTGGGCCTCGGCCCCGGGCCGCCAAGGGGAGCGCGGCGGAGCCTGGCCGCCGGCCGCTCGCCCGGCTTGCCTGGTCCCGGCGGACCCTTAAAGGGAAAAACCCCCAACACCCAGCGCCCCACGCTCGCACCCCAAGAGTCCACCGGGAGCGGGAGGAAGGCCCGGGGCCAGCGGGCGCCCTGTTCTGGCCCCAAACTTACCGGGCGCTGCGAGCGCCGCTGCCGCCGCTGGAGGACGCGCCGCTGCCGCCGCGGCCGCTGCCGGGCAGGCCCGGCTCCGGCCGGGAAGAGCGCTGCGAGGGCGCCGAGAACGGCTCCGCTTCAGCTCCTGCTCCGCGCCGACGGAGGCTGGGGTCACCGCGCTGCGCCGGCGCTGCTCGCTCGCTCGGCCGCCGGGTCGCTGCTCGCCCGCCCGCCGCCCGGTCGCCTGCTCTCCCGGGCGCCCGCCGCCGCTCGCTTTTTTAATGTCCACAGACAGTGAAAAGGAACTCGGCGTTAGGGGGTGAGTAAGTGAATCAACTCGCCCGGAGCCGAGCAAGTTGAAGTGTCAGATTACATTGGCTATTCTATTTCCAAAGGGCCCCGCGCCGCCGGCCGCTGGCAAAAGCAGGCGCGGAACTACGGATGGAACGGAGCGCCGCGCCGCGCCGCGCCGCCGCCGCCGCCGCCGCCGCCGCCAGCGCTCGACTCCGCTCGGCTCGCGCTCTCTGCGCTTTCGCCGCTCACTCTCCTTCTTTCCTTTTCGCCTCTTTCTCTCCCTCGCCTTTCCTGTCCCTTCTTTTGCTCTTTCTTCCCCGCTGCTCGGTCCCGGCCCTCTCCAAGCTTTCACCTTTTGTGGGTCGGAAGGGTTTCGCACGTCCTCCCCCCCACTGCCCCCCCCCACCCGGTCACTCACCTTCCTCCTCTCTCCCCCTTCCTCCACTTCTCCCTGCCCGCCCCCACCTCCCCGCTCCTGCAAGTTTAGAGTAGGAGAGAAATGCTGAAGCTAGTACGGGACCACATTGAGGAGGGGGCAAAAATCACCGGCACACCGGAGTGCCCCCCCTTCGCTCGCAAGCCCCGAGCTAGAGTGCACTTGGGGCCGCGAACGCTGTCAGGTACCCGATTTGGGGGCGAGCGAGTCACCAGCAAGATCGCCAAAGCCTTCCCCCTGGAGGAGGCTTTGGTGTTGTTCCCAAAGCCGGGGGACTGGCTGGTGGGGCGAGCAGAGGAAATCCCCACCACACGCCACCACCGAGGGCGATGTTGTGCGGGAGGCTGGAGCGCTGTGTCCCCGACGGCTGGGAAGGACCAGTGCACACGGGCTGCCCCCGTCACCCTGCGCTGTCCAGAGACCCGTGGATTCCTCGAGGCCCGTCGGGGGCGCCCCTCGGCCCAGGGCCTTTGGGCAGGGTGGGGGCGGCGGGACCCAGGTCCAGTCCCTAGTCCCAGGCTGGGCGCTGCCCCAGGAGCCGCAGAGAGCGATGGCACTCACAAGGCGCAGCTGAGTGCACCCACTCGAGGGGTTCCCCTTGCGGACTCACCCCCGAGAGCACTTAAGTGCGCACCCACTTTGGCTCTGGTCCATTGCCACTCACACGGAAACTCCTACGCAAACAGCACACACATCCGCGCCTACACTCAGCTTTACAAACACGCTTCCACACGCGCGCACACACAAACACGCACTCACGTACACTTTCCCTCACAAATGTACTCGTATACACGGCCATACCAAGCACATTTTACACAGACACACAACCGCAAACACACATACAGCGCTGTGCAACCCCCAATACACTAATAAACAGGAAACATTCCCCTGGGCATTAAATCCTCACGTTCACGTACATATACAAACACATACCCTACTCCCCCCTCCCTTTCACACCCAGAAGCCGCCCCCCGCTCGTGATTTGCTGCACCCTCAGTCCCAAATCATAATCGGCGCCCGCACAGCACGGGTTGGACACACACACTCGCGCGCACGCAAGCCTCTCCTCCCAGCACAGGCGGGGGAGGCTTCGGCCCCGCGCCGGTTTCGGATTCCAGGTGTGGCTGGTACTCCGCGCTCCGTGTTTTGCAGTCCGCCGCGGTGTCGGAGGCGAGGCGAGGAAGGGAGCTGGAATAACAAAGGCAAGTTGGGGAGAGCGCAAGGGGGCGCAGCCCCGGCCGGGCCGCGGGGGGAGCCCTGCACGGCCTGGGTTTTGCAGGCTGCGAGGGTCTCGGGCGCCAGGAGCCGGAGGTGGGGAGGGAGTGGGGGGGGGGGGCGAGTGGGGGTCGAGGGGCGGGGCCGCGGCGTGACGTCAGAGAACAATGACACCGCCGGGGGCGGGCACCCGGAGGCAGCCCGGGCGGGGGTCTCCCCGGAGGACAGAGACTAGCGGAAGACGTCCTGGACCCGCTAGGGCCATTGCCTGATTGACGAGGCCCGCTTGGGAGCGCGGACGTGCGACGCAGACTCAAAGATCCTCCAGGCCTCCTGGGCAGTGATCAGCGCCGACCCTGGGCCAGTGCAAGGAGCGGGCCAGAGGACCCTCCCCCCACCCTATTTAAAAACATCCTCCAGTGGGCATCTCTGACCTCGGCTTGAACTCCTTCAGGACCAGCTAGATCACTCCTTCTACCACCGAGGGAAAGGAGGCAAAATGCATTCACCAGCCCTGAATTCATTCTCAAGGCTTAGCTACTCTGACAGCCAGGGAACTCAGCTTGGATTCCTGAGGGCTCAGAGGATGGAAGCTCAGGTCCACAGGGGCATGGGAGGGGATGCCGGGAACTTGCTTGATTTTCCCAGGGGAAATTCTGCCTCCGTATGCCATTAGGTGCAAGGGAGGGCACTCCTTTCTGGGCCTCAGTCTTTCGACCTGGCACATGGACTGTTATCATGCTGCTGTTCCCTGCTCAGGTGGCAGCTGAGCACCCTTGGGGAAGGTGGGTGGCATGAAAGCCTTCCAGACCTCTCAGGACACCAGGGAAGCATGGTCCCAGAACATTCCTGTGGGAGTACATTCCCGAGCCCCTCCCCCTCAGCCTCTGGGTGGCCCAGGTTCAGGACATGGGGGTAGCCTTAGAAACCCCTGGAGGCCTGACCCAGGGCTGGAAGGTGTGGAGCCACAGCTGCTCCCCCTGGGAAAGCTAAAGCATTGCAGCAGGCAGAAAGCTACCCGCCCCCACCCCAGCTCTAAAACCTCGGGATAGAGTTTCTGGGTTTTGGGGCCTGGAGGGCAGGAATCCAGCCTCAGCCAAGAACTAGACCGGTTCAAGATGGGTCAGGATGCTGTCGTCCCGACATTTCTGTCCAGATTCCTCAGTGAGTGACCTGGGCTCACCACCTCCAGGAAATGGAGAATGGAGGCAACCTTGCGGGGTGACCACTCATGTTCAAAAGCTCCTGTCCAGAAGACACCCCCCCCCCCCCTCCTCCGGACATCTGGAAAATAGCACGCTACTGCAGAGAGCAGCCCAGCACACAAAGCAGACTCAACGCTTTGTAGCATGGAGCTAAGGGTAATTTCAGCTCTTCCTGGCTGGGCAGGCATGACACTTGACGGCAGTAAGTCTGAGAAATCTCCCCTGGGCCCTTGGTCTGCCTCGGCCTCCTGGGGATCCTGGGCCCCAGTCTTTGGGACTCAGGCCCTTGCTGTCTCTATTCATCTTTCAGGGAGATAACAAGGCAGGTTGGATCCTTGTTGGGTCTGGCAAGAAGCTGTGACTTATTTAGTGCCTACTGTGTGCTGGGTTCTGTGGTGAGGGCCTCTTAGCATTGGCTTACTGAATCTCACACTTCCTTGCATTCGAGGCTATTCCCATTCTCCCCTTCAGAGAAAACTGCCCTGTAACTTGCCCATGGTCATTCAGGATTCAAACTCAGGCTCTTGTTAACAAAGTTTCCTGCTGACCTCTCGGCCCAGCTCTGTATCCTCATCCATAGACTGACTCTCCGTGTGGTCGTGGGCAAGTTGCTAGCCCTCTCTGGGCTTCTGTAAACCAAGGATAAGGTCTCATGGCGATGGTCAGGCCTCTTCGGGGACGATGTGCCTCCACCTTCCTGGCCCTGGCTTCTGTGGGCCTAGAGATCTGGGGGTGAAGCAGAGGGGAAAGTGCTTTCTCTTCCCAGCCACTGAGAACTGGAAGACAGATCCCACTCTGCCAATGCAGGGCCCAGGAATTATGTGGCTTCAGAGGCAGCTTAGTGCCCATCAGGAGGGTGTGGGCTGCATGAGGCCAGCCTGTGGGCACCAATGCAGGGTCCTGTCCACACCCATCTTCAGAGTAGACTTAGGTTTTGTTAATTGCCTTACCTTCCGGGAACCATCAGCAGGAAAGAAGGCCATTGCTTAGGCCTGGGCCTAGGGAGTGGGGAGCCAGGAGGTCCAGGGGGCCATGAGGAAGGCAGTGGTAAGAGGCTTTAGGTCCTGGGGAGAGCAGAGGACCTGTATAGGGTACAGTGAGTATGGCCTCCTGGGCCAGGGGCCCTCGCTGGGCTGGGGGAGTGAAGGAGTGACACACAGGGGGCTAACTTCCTACCTCTTCAGGAATGCCTTCTCTATCTCCACAGTTCACCCTTCACTCCCCAAGAGGGAGCCCAGGGACCAAAAGGGCAAGAGAAGTGTCACATTTGTTGAGTCCTTACTGTTTGCCAGGCATTTTGGAAATATTGCCTCAACCTATTCTCTCCACAAGCCAGAAGGCATAATTCCCACCGAGGACAAAGGCTCAGAGAGGTTAAGTGACCTGCTTAAGGTCTCACAGTTATCCAGGGAATGGGACTGGACCTCAGGGTTGAGAATGGGGACTTGCCTCCATTCATCACCGGGCAATGGTGCAGACAAGGTGACCTTCTGAGTACTCCGGGGTGGAGTAAGGACTCCTACTCACCTGCCAGGGAATGACTGGGTCCCCTCCCATGGTAGTGGGGTAACGGGGAATAGATTTAGTTTTCACACCTTGGTGGATCCGGGAGGCATTTTGTCCCTGCCCAGCTGTGAGGCAGCTATGTTTCTAGAGGCGGGTGGTTGGGTGCAGCAGAGAGTGGATGTGCCCTTCAGCACATCAGATCCCCCTGGGCTGCCTCCTCCCAGTATTCCAGTCCGATGGCCCACTCCCCTCCTTACCTGGAGGCAGGAGCTGCCCAGCATCCTGGCCGTGGCTCTCCCAGGCCCTTCCACCAGGAAGGCTGTCTTCTCAGTTCCCGCCATGGGGCAGAGGTCCATGGTTCCAGACCCAGCTCAGCCAGCAACCCCTTCTTCTGATGGGAGACCCTGGGGAGTCAACTGAGAGCCTGCTTTGGAAGC